AGCAGCAGCAGCAGCAGCAAAGCAGCAGCAGACCAGCAGCAGCAGCTCTCCCAGTATCTCTCCCAGTAGCTCCCGCTATCTTGGCGTAATCTGTCCAAGTCCACAGGTGTTCCATCGCGAACTGCGCTGGCAAGCCTGGAAATGACCGTGTTGCTTGCTGTACTTGTCTCGCATGTGCTTGCAGGACATACAGAATAAGAAATTCATTGCTTCAGCAGGCATTATTAAAACACCTTTCGATGAGAGCCCCAGCATACAACCTAAAAGTAGGCCCCTTTCCAACCAACAGAGTTCGCTTGCGCTTGGGAAAAAGAGACGACTTTCCGCAAAGCCTTCCCCCAAGGCAGGGTAGTAATCACTCAAAAAAAGTGACGACTTTGTCTTTCGCCTGTAAAAACACTGGTTCATGTTTGCGTTTGCCCTTTGTTGCACCCGGCCCACGCCTTTGTAGAACTGTGGTTCAGCAGCAAGTTCCGATAGACCGCATCATCTGGCAGCTCATGCGGCAAGAGTGGTTCCAGCATGATTGGAAAGAACGGCCGAGCCAAAATTGTTTCTGATCGTTATTGCAAAAAATGTCACATGACATTGGGAAGAGTCCCCAACTTGCTGGAACAAAGCAAGATGTAACCCACGAGCCGAGAATTTACACACATACGAAAACACAAGCGACCAAACCTTGTCTGATACTTTTGACGGACATTTTGGGGTGACACTCTTCTAGGGTACTCTTGTAGGCCAACTTTGTACGACAATTTGGTTTGACAATTTTGTCCCACACTCTTTGTTGCGCAACACTCTTGCAGGTCAAAAACAGCACTTCGTACGGTCCTTCCTCCAAAAGAGCATTTCGCACGAGACCTCCTCCAAAAGTGATGCGTCAAGAGTGCAAAACTTCCTCCATAAAAGTGAAGAGGGAAGCCTCATCAAAGCAAACGCGTCGCGCAGCCCTGCCACGTAGTTTCGCAATCCAAAGCCCTCTAACGAGCAGCCCTTGACACGCCAATCCAACGGCGCAGCGACGTTCATTTGCACCAAACGTCGCAACTTCACGATTCCCCGTAATCTGCACCTCAGCACCTCCAACACGCACAAGGCACTGCCCCTGCCAAGAACAATGAGTATGCAACACCATGGCATCTTTAGCAAAATTTGTACCGCGCTAGAGGATTGGAACAATTTCAGCTTGTTGCTTCACCCAAATCCGTCAGAATCACCAGCGCCGCAGAATGCTGATCTCAAGAAACGGTTCACCGGCGCAGCAAAATCAACCTCCACACTTCAACATGTTAGGTTTCTACGCGATTTCACCTTTTTGACATTTCGTTTGACATTCGAGCCGGCAAAAGGGGCTGCGGACGTTTTTCTGAACACGAAAGCAAGGTCGTGCGGACAACGCTCCACCCTCGGACTTCCAAAGTTGAACGAGAACCCTTCACTACGCACTTATTGAAACGGGAGTTCACTCAAGTTCCACGTTTTGATACACGGGAGTTGGAGAAGGAGTTCAATGGCCTCCGCATCTTGCCAGCGCTGTTGTTGGGGCGAAGCTACAAACACGCAGTGGAAAAAGTGACAAACATGATCGCGCTAATTGCTTCGCGAGAACCCTATGGACCGGCCATGCTGGAAGCCACATTGATAGAAAATATATAAAAATATCTTGTTGGAGTTGCAACACCTTAATTTGTGCGGCTTAAAGGTTCAGCATCTTTGCAAAGCGCCCGTCTATAAATGAGCAAGTATACCTGCAGTGGGACTGCCTCACGAGGCCAAGGTAGACCGTGGTCCAAAAATATCGGCTTGGTGGAGACACAGTGAACGCAGCATCGGAGGGTGTATTTATGGTGTATTTTGTATATAGATCGGTTACATTCAAGCCAGCCACTTGAGCACAAGTCTCCGATGAAGCCAAGAACTGATGTCTATAAACACGTTTGCAACAGTTTTTCTGTCACCATGCGGTGGTGCGAGAAACCAACGACGAAATAGGTGAACTGCTGAAACGTCTCGACAATATTCTCGATCTTGGCTTGTTCCGCGCGCTTGGTTCTGTGAAAGGCTGTGTTATATACATTGCATGTGGAAAGATCTTGTCGGTGAAAGTTTGTGCTGGCGGTTTGTTTTGCATCGTTCATGTTTAGTGAAACACATTGGCTTATATAGGCCATCAGTCACGATTCACCATCACCTGCTCTGAATTTCCCCCATATGACCAATATACCTGCGTCTCATTCCTTCGTTTGCTAAGGCCACTAGCTGCTGAGCTGCCATTTGCACGGCGCAGGGAGTTGTCGGTGATACTGGGGAAGGGTCGGCGAGCAAAAGCGAAGGACTTACAGAACTCAGTCCCTGCAGTGATCTGCACAGTGAACGTGATGTGAACGTGGTCGCTAGAAAATTCGAGTTGCTTCTTCCAGTCAAGATTGCAACTCTACCCAAGACGCCAGGGATAAGCTACGGCGGAGATTTGGATGTGATCTCACTGAGATCCTGGCGCCGATTCCTGGTTGATTACAACCCTGGGTTTATGGTATGTGGTTTGAAATCTCCTGATCCTGCAGGGGAGCGTGCTATCCTTAGCACCTTTTGGGATCGGTTTAGACAGCTCAAACCGAACCATGAACTGTGGTCCATAGTTTCAAAGAGAGGCATCGATCTATCAAGATGCTGCCCAGTCGCCTTGCACGGCGGGGTAGTGTCATGAAAGCGATTCCATCTTCCCAAAAACATAGACGTAAAGGAACTCCAACAAAAAGACTTATCTCATAAATGAATCAGTATCTTGGGATTTCAGGCGGAAGGGATGGAAGTATGTTCGTTTCCTTTGTTCCACATTCATTCCCGGCGTCGGGTGGTGATTTGGACTCTTCACAAAACGTGCTGCGCCCGAACCCTTTCATATGAGTGTGGCACCATACATTATATTTATAAATGTAGCGCAAGAAATGCGACAACTTTGCTAACCGTTGGACCCTGACTAACATATACCCCCCAGAAAATATTCCACCGCCTGGTCACAGGCCGGGTAAACCATCAAGCTTAAAGTTTAAAGAAGCTAAATTAAGGTTCCTTCGCGACCCAGTAATTAAATTCAGTTGGCAAGCCAAATAACCTATATGTCGACCAGTACTTGTGTATCGTTTCCGCATTTGTTCAAGAAGCACTTGGTGGAACAGCTCATACAATTTTACGTTGCGCCCATTTACCGCGCTTTCTCGGGATAGCCCAGTTCAAATCATGTGAGCCACTGCTCATCCACATGTTCATGGTGGGTTCGCTGATAGGTGCGCCGCCCCGAGTCCTGGTCGACCGAAGGTTCTTTTCCCCGATCCCTGCCAGTGTTTTGTTGGCTGATTCTACGTTAAGATCTTCGATGCTTCGCGGCGTTGAGCTGAAGACTCGCGCGCCCTCCCCTCACTGGACGCGAATGTCCGGGTTGCGTGTCGCAGTTTGCTTTTGGCCTAGCTTAATTTGGGCTATCGTTGGGATGAACAGCCACCAGAAAGCTGGCAACTGCCTACCGTGAGACTCAGGTGGCTGGCTTTCAGCAAGCGCTTCGCATGACTTACTAGCACACAGGTCAGACACGCCTGGTGGAGAAGGGCCCAGAGCATGAGCTCGGTCCTAAGCTCGAAACAGCCACCAACGGCCGCCGGGACATCTCTCCTCAGACTTTGATTTTCCATCTCATGACATGGATGACCTGCCCGCATGACGAGCAATCATTCTTCAGCTTTTCAGCCCTTACTCACATCACTTAGTATTAGATTGAATGGGGCGTATGTTACTCTTGGACCCAAGACCCATCACAACCCAGGGGATGCCTAGATGACACATTTACCATGTTGGTCCAAAGACTATGATATATGAATAGCTATGGAATGGAGCTTCTACGAACTCAAACGACGAATGTCTCGCAACACTTGCCTAATCACGTCCTCCGGCGTCGGCCCGGCGTGCCTTCCGAAGAATCCTCTTCTTCGACCTGCTCCTCTTCTTTGACCTCTTCAGCCTGAATGTGCCTTTTGGGTAGGGTAGATGGCGCCCTCAGCAAACTGGAGTTGCACCAAGCCACGTCTTTGAAAAGGGTAGTTTATCCCCGAAAATGCATTTAAAACGAGATAGGTCCAAAGACTATGAATGTCTCGCGGCGCCTGCCTACTCCTCCGCCTCGGGAGTGGGTTCCTCAGGCGATGGCGGCGTGCCTTGGCCAAACCGCGAAACACCGCGCTCAACGGCTTGGTGGGGCGCAGGTGGTGTTCCACTGTGCGTTTCAGGCAGATCTTTTGTCATTGTTTTACCCCAAACATTAGCATTATGTAGCAGACAAGCTAGCGTCTACAGTATGTGTGTATATATATATATACACAGAAGGGGTAGCCATGGGGGGTGGAGTGGTGTAGATTGTAGGAACGCAGGTCTTTGTGAGGGTAGTGATATGCAAACATTCGCAAATGCAAAATAGCTTCTGAAAACAATACACAAACAAAAAGCAGCAAGTTCAGACCCAAAGGGCCAACCAAAAGAAACGAACAAACAACAAGTTCAGACCTATGTCTCCTGTCCAGCCTCTCATGGGCCCCTCTCCATGGGTCTGAACTTGTTGTCTTTTCTCTTTTTGGTTTTGGCTGGCCTGCCTGAACGTGTCCAAAAACAAAAAGGACGTTCAATATATGTCTCCTGTCTAGCCTCTCCTGGGTCCCTCTCCATGGGTGTGGGCGTGCGGGTGTGTGTGTGTGTGTCGTTACCCAGACAGTGTGGACACACTGAAGGGGTTCTTACGGTAAGGGAAAAAAGCAGCTGATGCTTAGATCGCTGAAGCGCGCTGGCGTGGACGGCTAACTCGCTGCTATTTGCAGCACATTCACTCGCAATCGTCCACATGCGTTTCGACTGCGCAGGCTCGCAAAATCTGGGCGGCGGCGGCGGGCGCTTCTAGCGACTGCGCTCTCGTTGTGATGCGCGCGCATTTTCGCACATGGTGGTCACTTTTCGTGGCAGGCGCAAGGGAAACCTCGTGTTTTGGTGGTCCGAAGTCGACTGTTCGTGACAGGTGCCAGGGATCGGAGCGGTTTTACTTCGAAGTGCAGATTTCGTGGCAGGCGCAGCACTTTGTGAACCTCGAAGTGCAGATTTCGTAGCAGGTACAGCACTTTGTGCAGATTTCGTGGCAGGCACAGCACTCTGTGACCCTCGATGTGCAGATTTCGCGGCAGGTGCAGCACTTTGTGAACCTCGAAGCGCAGATTTCGTGACAGCTACAGCACTTTGTGAACCTCAAAGCGCAGATTTCGTGGCAGGCGCAGCGCTTGGTGAACCTCGAAGTGCAGATTTCGATGCAGGCACAGCACTTTGTGAACTTTGAAGTGCAGATTTCGTAGGAGGCACAGCGCTTGGTGAACCTCGAAGTGCAGATTTCGTGGAACGCACAGCACTTGGTGAACCTCCATGTGCAGATTTCGTGGCAGGCGCAGTAGTGTGAACCTCGAAGTGGAAATTTCGGCGCAGGCGCAACACTTTG